GAGGCACATGAGGAAGAAATGGCTTTTTCGCCCCTGGTGGTGACAGTATCTGCATGCAGTGTCTAGTCCTGGGGCTGACATCTAGAGAGCAGGGGAGAAATAGGCCAGGAAATGCTGAGGATGGTAGTACAGAAAGATGGAAGAAACTAGGCCCATCATAGGCCTCTGAATTAACCAACCTGAAGCTACGTCACCTCAAAACTCCTCCTGAGGTGAGATTTCACCCAAATATATATAGACTCGTTCTGAATAGGGAGTTTCAGATTTCATGACAATTGGATTCACTTACAAAGTAAACCCTTGAATTAAAGCAAACCAAGGACAAGGGTACCTGCAGCACACTGAGATTTTAATGTTAAGTGAGGTCTTATTTCAAGAAATTGGAATTTATCAGATTTGGGAACTTGACTACTTCCAATTATACATAAATCAAATACTAAGCCGTGCTTAAAAACTGCAATGAACTTAGTCAACCAGATGATGTCAGCACCAAAGCAAATGAACTTCAGTGAAGCCAAAGTGCCTTCACAGTTTGGTGCTGGGGACAAAGGTATTCCCTGTGAAAACTGCCAAAGCATTTTAAATATCCTCATCTGCTGACCTTGGCATTGGACATTATCTAAAACAGCTGATCCACACTAACATGGTTCAGCAAAGAGCTTTTATTAAAGGACCCATAATTCTAACCTGAGTCTTTAAATTTCATGTATGCAATTCTCATTGAATTCAATATAGTTTGGGGTTTCACAGCGGCTAGAAAGGGTATCAGGTGGCAAGGATACTTGCTAATAAGATTAAAAATTGAAATGTAAATTGGCTAACATTTTGCATGGATTATCACATGCTCAAGAATCAGAATTTCAGCTTGTCCTCCATTCAACCAAGTGTCTCTCTATTTCTGCCCAAATTGATCTTGATAATGGCTGGTGAACTCAAAGACACCACAACGCATACAGCTTTTGCCAAACAGCAGGCCAGCATCTCAAGAAAGATAACAGGGCACGTGTTTGGCAAGAAGGTCTCAGAGCACAGCTGTGTCCAACGGCTGCTCTTTTAAATATTCCTTTCACAGTGACCAAGGCTCCCTTCTACTGCTGGCTTCTTAGATGGCAGAGGAGGAAAGAGGAGTCACAGTAAGTGGGGGGTGCAGGGGACATCCCAGTCAGAAACACAAATGTTTGAAGAACTCTTTAAACTAGAATCTCAAAAAAGTGTTCCAAAAAAGACACATGAAAAGATGCACAACACCACAGTCATTATAGAAATTCGAATCAGGGCCGGGCACGGTGGCTCAAGCCTGTAATCCCAGCACTTTGGGAGGCCGAGGCGGGTGGATCACGAGGTCAAGAGATCAAGACCATCCTGGTCAACATGGTGAAACCCCGTCTCT